AGTGGAGGGCACCAGGTGAGGGGCCCCACTGAGTTGCATGCTCCCCATAACACCCCATATCCCCAGCCTGATCCTCTCTTTGTCCTTTGGCTCTCACTACAAGGACACTTCCTCAGGGAGGCCTTCCTTGATCACTGCCATACACTGGGGGCTCCCGAACCTTTCCTATAAAGCTCTTTCCAGTGCGGTCATTGGGTGACGATGGCCCCTGTCACTGGGTTTTTTAAGGTTCTTTAGGACAGGGATCTCAGGGCTTGGTGGTCCCAGACCAGTGCTTGGCACAGAGCAGGGATGTACTAAACAGTGATGTGCAATGGGTAGGACACCAGCTGAGGAGATGCCAGGCAGGAAGAGGTGGGGCTGAGGGCTGAGGGGACCCCAGTGAGGTGTGCACAGTGCCCGGGTGTGCGAGCTGGGCTCCTTTGTGTCCTTAGGCAGCTCTTTAAAGAGCTGTTTTCAGGAACAAAAGCCACACAGCTGCCAGTGCCTCAGTGGACGGTTGGCCTGCTGAAGAGCAGTGGACTGAGCCAGCTTGTCACCCCCCCCCCCCACGCCCCCTCCCCCCCAGGCAGGCTGGTGACTCTGGGGAGTGGAGCCAGCCATGAGGCTGGGGGCTGGGGGAAGCGGGACCATTAGTGGGCCCGGTCCTGACCTCACCAAAATTATTTTTTTCAAACCTGCAAGAGAAAGGGGATATTTTTAACCTTGTTCCATGAAGGCATCCCAGGGGAGCAGGGAGGGCACGGAAGCAGAAGCCAAGCTGGGGGAGGGGCCGAGAGCAGGACTGGGGGCTTCCAGAGAGCCCCCCCGAGAGCAGCTTTTCCCCCCTTTGTCCCCAGCCCTGTTAAATTTTTTAAAAGCTCCAAACAGCAAGAGGGACAGTGGAGTTCATTATATCGAGTTATCTCCTCCGTTTCAGGCGAAGATCAATCTTCGGAGTCTTGCAGCTCCAAGGGGGAAGGGAAGAGAAGGAAAATGGGAGGCGAAGGGAAAAAAAAAACTCCCTGGACCAATTTCCGCTGGCTAACACGATTACCCGGCTGCCTGGCAGCAGCGCCAGCTGTTGGCAGGCCTGCTGGCCCCCCGCCAGCCTCGCTCAGCTGCCGGCTGCCCCAAGGCTCCCTCCTGAGTGGGGTGGGTTGGCAGGTGTGAAAGCCCCACATGCCCCTTGGTTGGGGCTGCTGAGTGTGGCGTCCAGGGATGCTGCAAGCCCCACTGGTACCTGCTGGCATCCACTGCTCAGCCTATGCCACAGACCAGGCTGTGCCCAGTGTCCTGCCATGATGAGTGTGCCCTCTGACTCCTTCCCACGGGAGACTTCTTCTTCAGAGAGTAAAATCACGGAGAGCTGGCTCCAATTTATTTATTCATCCACTCATTCATTGGTTCATTCCCTCAACAAATAGTTCCTGAGTATTCACACGTGGCAGCACACAGTACACACAGAAGTTCAGAGGCGAACAAGGTGTCTGTGGTCTGTGTTGAGAAGGGGACAGACAAGGGACAGGTGGGACACACATAGACAAGCAGGAAAAGGTCAGGTGGGATAATGCTGTGAAAGTGAGTGGTCGGTGTGTCCAGGCATTTTACCTGGGAGGGTTGAGGGGAGGAGGGAGACCCCATCTGAGGGAGGGGCTTTGCCCCAGCAGGAGTAAGATGTCTCCAGCCTGAGGCTGGCCCAGCTGAAGGAGGACAGAGGTGATGGGAAAGGAGTTCTGAGAGTGGAGGAGGCCCCAGAGGCCTTGGGAGGAGGTTGCTGGTGTGGGACAGCCATGGCAGGTCATGACTCTGCTGTGCTGGTTTGAACTGTTGTCCACGTGAGGTGCCCAATTCCAGCAGGGCAAGGGCAGAGTGGGACAGAGGTGACTGAGTAGTCAGGGCCTGGATGTGTTTGAGAAAAAAATTGATAGTGGCTGGTGATGACTTGGGTGTGGGTGTGTGGGGTAAAGAGGAGTCAAGGTGGAGGGAGATGTAATTTTGGGTTAAAAATGAAGTGTTCTGTGTTGGACAGGGCCGTTAGGAGAGTAAGTAGAGATGACAAATTGGCTCCGAGCTCTAGAGCTGTGCTCAGGAGACTGGGGCTAGCACGATGGAGCTGGAGGCAGAGCTGTGGATGAAGCCCAGAGCTGTGAAAGCAGCCAAGGGATGAGTGGTCAGGAGAGGGAAGAGAGCCCATGGGCACTGCGGCCTCCAGTGTTTGGAGTGAGAGTGGCCAGAGAAGGCTAGTCCTGGGAGGCCAGAGATAAGTGTCTCCACATGGAAGAAGCCATCAGCACATCGGATGCTGTCCAGATCTTGGGGACCAGGGCATAGAGCATGACCACCGCTCTGGCTAAACAGCTTCTGGGCATCTTGATAAGACTGTCTTATGGAGTGGAAGGGACCAGAGCCTAGCTCCAGAGAGGGCTGCGAGATACTAGCCAGAACTGCACTGAAGACCGGAAGAGCTGAGAGTTGAGTCTTCTCCCTCCCTCCCTCCCTCCCTCCCTCCCTCCCTCCCTCTCTCCTTTCATATAACTCTTCCTTCCATATAACTTTTTCCTTTTAGTCTCTCTGATTTGTAGGTTTTTTGTTTGTTTGTTTGTTTGTTTTCCCAAAATGGAGACATCATCTCAGATGTCACTGGATCTCACTGAATAAGAGTCTCACTGTTTAGCTTCTGGCTGTCCTGGAACTGACTCTGTAGACCAAGGTGGCGTTGAACTCACAGAGATCTGTCTGCCTCTGCCTCCCGAGTGCTGGGGTTGAAAGCATGCACCCAGCTGGAACTAATCTTAAGCACATGTTCTCATGGGGAATTAGATAACAGTATATCAGCACAAATAAGTTTTTGGAGGGCATTTTGGCAACAAGTAGAAAAATTTAGAGTGTGTATATCCTTTGTCCGACCCTTTGGGAACTTGCCTAGACAAGTGCTTACGTGTGCACACAAGGAAGCAGGGCTCCTCCCACACCCACCACCCAGTAAGCAATGTTTGAAACAAAAAGTTGGAACCCTCCAGGCGTACATCCTTGGGGTTCCTGGTCATCTGGAGAGGGTGTGCCCCCTTGTGGAGGAGCACAGTGTAGCGTGTGTGGCGCTCCCAGGCTCCTTAGCAGTGTCTGCCTGCTCTCTAACTAGAAACCCTTGGGTAGCTCATTGATCGCCGCCGCTAAGTACTCCAGTGTCCCCTAGAGCAGTGGTTTTCAACCGTCCTGATGCTGCGACCCTTTAATACAGTTCCTCATGTTGTGGTGACCCCCCAACCATAAAATTATTTCCTTGCCACTTCATAACTATAATTTTGCTACTGTTATGAATCATAATAAAATATCTGATATGCGGGATAGCTGACACAGAATCCCCAAAGGGGTCACAACCAACAGGTTTAGAACTGCTGCTCTAGGGAATAATGGTCTGAGTGGTATCGTGTCAAAAACATGCTGTGAAGACCAGCAGGGTTAACACGTGGAGCTCTCAGCCTGCTGTGTGGTGCACAGTAGGTGCTGAGTGAGTACAAGCAGCACTTGACGTTCTTTGAGGAGATGGAAAGATCTATAATACACTGTGGAAGAACACAGGAGCTGTGTGCCCCAGGGTAGACCCTGCGTGTGCACCTCTGTACGGGTGCACATGTACCCCAGGGTAGACCCTGCATGTGCACCTCTGTACAAGTGCACATATACCCCAGGGTAGACCCTGCGTGTGCACCTCTGTACAAGTGCACATGTACCCCAGAGCAGACCCTGTGTGTGCACCTCTCTATGGGTGCACGTGTACCCCAGAGGGCACTCAGTACCTCTGAGAAGTGGCCTAGAAAAGGAGTTTGTTTATTGTACTTGAATAATAAAACAATACTCTGTAATAATGGAAATTTAGATTTTTGTTGGTTTTGTTGTTGTTGTTTGTTTGTTTGCTTTGACACAGGGTTTCTCTGTGTAGCCCTGGCTGTCCTGGATCTCACTCTGTAGACCAGGCTTACCTTGAACTCAGAGCTCTGCCTGCCTCTACCTCCCCAGTGCTGGGATTAAAGGTGTGCATCACCACCACCATCTGACTTGGAAATTTAGATTTTTATCTCCTCCTGGAAGTCTTCTAGGACTGCACCAGCTCAGAGCCGTCTACTGTGGATCTGTGTTTGGAAAGCACACCCTTACCCCACCCCCATGACTGCTTTGAGTTAGATGTGAGTGCTTGTGCGTGCATGCGTGTGTGTGTGTGTGTGTGTGTGTGTGTGTGTTGTATTCTCAGCCTTTGAACTTCCTGAGTCTAGACTCTATGCTTTGCAGATGCATGTTCTAGGTACATACAACTCGATACATGTTCAAAAACAGAGGTTGTTCAAATGGGACCCCAGATGGCAATACTAGCACCCAGGGGAGCCAGCTTGAAATGCAGATTCTCAGGCCCACCCGGGACCCATTGCTCAGAAACTCCAAGGGTGGCAGCAAGCTGTGTTTGCTCAAGCCCTCTGGCATGGATGTACCTGCTTGTACTGATGGGTAAAGGGCCAGCCCAGAGTCACAGGGTGAGCCAGGCACGTACCTGAATGGGGTTGGGTCAGGGTGCCAGGCATAGGTGGGCCTTAGCTCTCTGTTCCTGCCCGCTCTCCTGGGCCCCTTTGGGCCATGGGCCACACCTGGCCTTGAAAGGCAATTTGAGGCCGGGCCCTTTGTGTCCAGGCACCAGACAACTGTCCTTGCTGCTGTGGGTAGTCCGGGTGAGGTGGGGTGGGGTGGGATGGGGTAGGGTGGGGGCTGCTCTCCTGGTCCAGTTCACACTTCTCAGAACTCATGTGGAGCCTGGTTTGGCCTGAGCAAGCCCTCAGATCCCGGTCAGCAGTGGTTCTGGCCCGATACTTGTTTTATTCTGTGAGATGGACCTGGCATCTGCACAGCCTCTCCTCCTGCCTCTTCTGCCCTGGGGCACGGGACGTCCAGGCTAAACGGAGGGCTTGGGTGAGGCAGACTGCAGGGTAGGTCTGGGTGTCCCTCACCTCTTCCCTGGTGTTTCTCTGCAGGAGTCCTGCTGAGGAGCTGTGAGCCTGGAGTGAGGCCTGCGAGAGGTGAGCCATCGTCAGCCCTGTTGTCCCCCTCCTCCTCTGTGTCCTGAAGGCTGTCTTTGCTTCCTCAGCTGTGTTGGTGGTGGGGCAGTGAAGGAGAGGGCAGAGCTGTGAGCCCCCATGTGAGAGTAAGCCAGTGAGGAAGTTGGGGCTGGGGATTGCCTGGCTTTGTGTGTGTGTGTGTGGGGGGGGGGTCTTGTGCTGAAATCAGTAAGCACTTTGAGGAGTCCATTCTCTTTCTCCTGAGCACTGCTGGCCTGGGGAGAGCCAGCAGACTCCGGGCAGACGCTTGGCCGAGTCCCTGTCCGGACGGACCCCAGGACACACTTGCAGACTTTGGGTTTTAATTTCCCGTCAGAGCCTGAGTGTGTCTGCTGAGTCAGCCTCGCCTCCACATGGTAAGCCAGCAGGAGAGGCTACCTACGGAGTATGGTAACTCCCGAGCCTGGCAGGGGTGACGAAGGTCATGAACTGAGGGTCAAGTTTCACAGCTCTCTGTGACCCGATCCCTCCATTTTCTGGTGGGTCAAAGGGGACTTCTGAAAATTAATCCTCCTGGATGTTACTCTGTGTAGAGAAGGCCATGCACACAGTTGGTGCTCAATAAATGGTAAAACACACACACCAGTTGCTAAGCGACCTGAGGTGTGGGGAGAGAGAGTGACGACCTGAGGGGTCAGGGAAAGGGCAGCCTTCTGTGGCTGAGCCCTCAGCCAGGGCCTCTAGAACAGAGACTTGCTCTGTGGAGGGATCCAGGCTGCCTGCCTGGAGGAGAGGCAGTAATTGTTACTAATTTGTATGCTCAATCACCTCTTTTTAAGTCTTCAAGAAACCTTTCCAGACTTTAATTAGCTCATTCGTCTTAGCAACAACAATCTTGGGAAGGAGCAGTTTGTTCCTTTCTTAGAGGTGGGGGAGCCAAAGCTGTGGGTAGGGACGGAACCCAGTGGTGAGGTAGGCTGTAGCCTGGGTCCCTACTCCTGGCTCGGAGCCACCGGGTGTGTGGGAGTTGGGGCTGTCAGATCCTAGAGAGAGCGAGCATGCACAAGGGATCAGACCACAGCCATCAGGGCACTTCTGTCCTTCAGGGATGTGACCTGCTTGTCTCTCCTCTGCATTTGGACCCTGCCAGCCCCTCCTGTGGTAGTGTGCCTCCTCTGACAGGCCATTTTGCCTATCCTGCTTGCTAAGTCACCCTTGGTGTCCCTTCCTAGGGTGGCTGAACAGCCCCGGCCCTGCTCAGTTGGGTGTACTCAAGCTATCGGTACTTGTCCCAGGTGGGTTTCTGGTGGTGGTCACTATTTATGAGGAAGGATGGAAATGGGCAGGGAGGTCACTTGAGGAGCCCACAGATGTGTGGGATTCAGAAAGCATGGATATTGTGTGGGGCTAGGGAGCAGGGGACAGGCGGGGTCAAGTCTACAAGGCTGTCAACATTACTGGCCCCACAAGACCTCTGAGACAGAGACGACTGCATGCTGGATAGAGCCCAAGTGAGCATGTGTGTGAGAGTGGGCTGAGGGAAGCCTGGGAAGAGGTACTATAGAAATCCAGGAGTGGTTACATTAGCATCAGCTAGGGCAAGAGGAGAAGTGTGGGGCACGTGGGGTGTGTGGCTTCCCTCCGCAGTCAAGGCTGGGCCAGAGTTGTGCCAGGCTTGGACAGTGCTCTGCTTTGGCAAAGCCACACAGGTTCCACAGGTGGACACCTGTCTGAGGGGACCAGATTGGAGGGTTTTGACAAAGGGAGTTTGATACAGACAGCTGAGCCCAGGAGGGTTAGTGACAGGAAGTTCAGCCGGTGGGGTTGCTGGCACTCTGGACCTCATCCTTGTGACATGGCTTTCCTGGCCCGACTCTGTGTGAGTCTGAGCTACTGACCTGAGGAAGAGTCACATTCTCTGCTTGAACAGGAACAGAGCAGCGGAGGAGGGTGTCAGGCCAGTGCGCTCCATTTTTAACTTTAAAAGCTTTTTCTGTGTCTGCTTCAAATGCTGCTTTTTTTTTTTTTTTTTTTTTTTTTTTTTTTTTTTTTTTTTTTTTTTTTTACCTCAATTCCCCCATCCCAGCAGGGAGACCCATTGTCCTTTCCTGACAGGCCTCTAGCACTGGGCTTTTCCAAGGTCTGGGGGTGGGGGAGATGGAGGGGCATCTGAGCTGCACAGCCCAGAGGGGAGCCCTCAGCCTCTGGGCCTGACTACTTGGCTTCATACTGTCACCACTTAGAAGCTGGGTGACCTTGGGTATGTTTCCTAGAGTCTCTGTGCATCAGCGTCCCACAAGGGAGCTTCTATGATCTGGGTCTCTGCAACAGAGTTGCTGTCACTGCCAGCGTTGGTGGCTGTGGCTCCCTTCAATGGGTGGACAGCAGAGTCAGTTCAGGAAGAAGTGAGTGATGATGTGTGGGTCATCACCCTGGGTACCATGGTTTGGGTAGGAAGGTGACTCTTGCCTCTCTGCCTTCCTCTTGGTGTCAGTTGCTCAGAAGCTTCCAGGAGCAGTGCTAAGCAAGAGGTGCATGGTGTAAGGTTCAGCACTTGTCCTTTCAGAGGCAGATGTCCTCAGCCAACAAGGTAGAGGTGATACAAAGGGTGGAGTCTGATGGCAAGATGAAGAGACTCCTTTTCCTGGGTACAGAGAGGTGTCCCTGGTGATAATGAGGTGGGCCTGAGGGGTCTGACCCACAGAGGAGGGAGAAGAGGGGACAAGAATGACACATTTCACATACCACCCAGTCTAGGCTCTTCACACATCATTTGTTCCATGCAGCAAGGGTTTCCCACATGCATAGTGGTAAGGGTTTCCCACATGCATAGTACAGGTGCTGTAAGGGGAAGGTACTGACCCCAGGGGCAAAGAGCATTGAAGCCATTCAGGTCCTGTGTGCTTCAGGACCCCAGGAACAAAGACAATTTTCACTTCTGGCTCTAGGTGTCCTGGATAGGTTACCTGCATGGGTGGGGATGGACCTAGGTGTGTGTTGGGGAGATGCTGATCCCCCGCAGCAGGAAGCCCTGAGCAGTGGGCAGCTTTTTTCCATCTTCTACAGTGTGAGCCCTGGGCAGCTCCCATGGCCTAGCCTGGTACCTGGATCCTGTGTGCTTTCCCTGTACCTGGCTCCTCATTCTGCCCAGGCCCTTGCCACATGTCTCCCAGGAGGGAGAGGTGCCGTGGAGAGGCAGGAAGATGCTGTAGGATAATAGACATTATTATGGCAGTGTACGTTGAGTGTGGCCAAGCATCCTTTTCCTGTCTCCTTCATTCTGCAGCAGAGGAAATTCAGACCAGAGGAGTAGAGTGACTGGCCCAAAGTCACACAGCTGACCTGGGTGGGGGGATGGGGCCCACTGCAGTTCAGGTCTGGTTTTGCTCTCTGGGCAGTTCCTGGAGTCCCTAACGAGAGAGGACCTACCTCACCCCAGCCACCTTTTCCATTTCTGCTGTGGCCAGGCTCCAGAGAGGTACTGGACAACCATTATGTTAGCTCCCCTGCCACAGGCCCTTTCTGACCCATGTTACAGATGTGGAAGCTGAGGCCAGGAATGGACTCAGGCTTTTCTGAAGTTAGTATGTCATTCATCCTCTTGACTCCAGAGAATCTGGTGACAGTCTGGCCAGTCCTTCCACTGCTATAAGTGGAGTATATGTGTCCCACTTTCCCCAGGCCTGGGGACCCGCCTCTGCAACTGGAGAGAAAAGGGAACCAGGCTGTGTAAACAGGCAGAGGCAGGGTTAGTCTCTGCACTCAGGGGAGAGATGCAGGGTCATTCTCATATCCTTTCTGCTGTCTAAACCACCGAGGTGACATGGGCAGCTGCTGAGGACCTGGCCTGTGCAGGCGGTTGTGTGCCCTCACACAAATGTACGATTCGAAGTCTCTGTCTCAGTTTCTGCATCTAAAAGGGAGAATGGTAATAGTCCTCACTTTGCAGGACTGCTAGAAGATTGCTAGTCAACTTAGGGAAGCAATAACAGAATGTCAGAGACTAGGTAACGTGTGCCTCTGTGTCTGTCTGTCTGTCTCTGTTTCTGTCTCTCTCTCTCTCTATGGTGTCCATATAGGTTATGCACTCTGTACATGTCCATATAGGTATATGCACTGTGTACATGTCCATATAGGTATATGTACTCTAAACATGTCCATATAGGTATATGTACTCTATCTGTACATGTCTATATAGGTATATGTACTCTAAACATGTCCATATAGGTATATGCACTGTGTACATGTCCATATAGGTATATGCACTGTGTACATGTCCATATAGGTATATGTACTCTAAACATGTCCATATAGGTATATGTACTCTATCTGTACATGTGGAGTCCAGAGTTTAACGCCAAGTGCATTGCTTGATCACTCTCTATGTTTTTGTTTGTTTTGTTTTGTTTGTGGTTTATTTGTCTTTTGAGACAGGTTTCTCCTGAACCTGGAGCTATTTTAGCTGGGCTAGCTAGTTACCAGGCTCCTGGGATCCGCCTATCTATCTCCTCTTGGAGTTACAAACACCATGTCTGGCGTTTACTTGGGTACCATGGACCCAAACTCAGGCCCTGATGCTCACACAGCAAGCTCTTTATCCATTGAGCCATCTCCCCAGTCTGCCGGGCTGGGTTATTTATTTATCAAGAAAGAGACAGTTGCGTCTGTTAGCACGGGCCTGTAATCATAGCTGCTTAGAGGCTGAGGCAGGAGGATCATGAGTTGAAAGCCTGAGTGAGTACAGGTCAGCCTGGGCAACTTATTGTCTCAAAATAAAATAATATTAAAAGGACTGTGAATATAGATCAGTAGATGAGTGCTTATTTATCATGTATGAGAGCCCTAGGTTAATTCCCAGCACCAAAAAAGGAAGAAAAATCTATTTTCTATAGTTCTGGAGGCTAGGATGTCAAAACTGAAGGGGCCTGGAGACTGGAGATACAGTTCAGGGGCAGATTACTTGCCTAGCATCTGGATTTAATTTCTAGAATAAAAACAACATGCACACCCGAGATGGGTTC